TGGGGTGGGGGAGCTGAGGGGAACTGGGGGAGGGGTGGGGCAGCCCCGACCTCACGTTGGTGCCTCTGATGTCATGCTGACGCCTTTGACTCTGCCTTGGTGCCCCATGTCAAAGCCCCTGACCCCATGTTGTTGCCTCCAACCTTGTGTTGATGCCCTTGACCCCGTGTTGGTGTCCCCAATGTTGTGTTGGTGCCCCTGACACCCTGTTGGTCCCCTTGACCTCATGTTGGTGTCCCTGGCCTCATGTTGGTGCCCCCAATGTCACACTGATGCCCTCAACCCTGTGTTGATGTCCCCAACACTGTGTCAATGTGCCTGACCCCATGTTGGTGCCCCCAACCCCATGTTGATGCTCTTTATCTCATGTTGGTACTCCCAACCCTCTGTTGATGCCTACAACCCTGTGTCGCTGCTCTTGACCCCATGCTTGTGCTCCCAACCCTGTGTTGATGTCCCCAACCTTGTGTCAATGTCCCTGACCCCATGTTGGTGCCCACAACCCCATGTCCATGCCCTTGACGCCACGGTGGTGCCCCCAACCCTGTGCTGATGTCCCCAACCCCGTGTCCATGCACTTGACCCCATGGTGGTGCCCCCAACCCCGTGTTGATGTCCCCAACCCCATGTGGATGTCCTTGACCCCATAGTGGTGCCCCCAACCCCATGTGGATGCCCTTGACCCCATGGTGGTGCCCTCAACCCTGTGCTGATGTCCCCAACCCCATGTGGATGCCCTTGACCCCACGGTGGTGCCCCCAACCCTGTGCTGATGTCCCCAACCCCATGTGGATGCCCTTGACCCCACGGTGGTGCCCCCAACCCTGTGCTGATGTCCCCAACCCCGTGTCCATGCACTTGACCCCATGGTGGTGCCCTCAACCCTGTGCTGATGTCCCCAACCCCATGTGGATGCCCTTGACCCCACGGTGGTGCCCCCATCCCTGTGCTGATGTCCCCAACCCACGTCCATGCCCTTGACCCCACGGCGGTGGCCCTGACCCCCCAGTAACAAC